CCCCAAAACCCCAAAACCCCAAAACCCCAAAACCCCTTATCTTCTTGTGGGAATTGAACCTCCTAGCTGAGTTATTTTTAGGAGAAGGACTATTGGCTGCAGAACATTTTGTATACCTTATAGCACTTCTCACAGATGGACTTTTGGGTATTAGGTTGAGGCTCTTCTAGAAGGATAGATATAACAGACTTACTCTCATTAATAAGCTTTAAAGTTCCGTTAATTCTTTTGAATTTAGGACTGGTCATAAGCTCAGATTGGCTCACAGTATCCTCTGTAACTTTATGGTTATTTTTCGATTCAGATTCATGTTGAAATATATCCTCATTACTGGTGAAGAAGAAGTTCTTTGACCTGCCACGAGCAGTACTCGAGGTCTCACTGTTTCCAAGGATAGACTCAAGTTTTATCCTTGGCTTCTTAAAATCTAGCTTAACACTCTGTGTGAATTTCTCTAATTCGGACTAGAATTGTTGCCATGATATTACCTGCCTTGTCTTATGAGACCTTGTGTTAATTCTTCTCCTAGATTTGCATCAGGGTTTTTGAGGACTTGTTTCATAAAGTTCATTAAATGTTCCTGGCTATTTTGTTATCAAATATGGTTACATATTTTCCCATTAGTGTTTTTTAAAGTAAGTGGTATTGTCTTCTTATTTTCATAGTTCCTGATTAGAATCTTAGTATCAGGTGAATTTTGGTTATAAATCTGTTGCTCTTGAATCTGGATACGGTTAAGGCCAGCTGCTTTTCTATCATTTCTGGAAACTGTTGAGTCTAACACGATGCTGCCTGTATCTTCCCATAGCTATAGGGTTAATTGCGAGATACCTTCCCTGGAGATAACCTATCCCTGACTGAGAGCTTGTAGATCGAGTTATGAATCTTTTTAAGTATGACCTTGTTCTTGAGCCTTGTGAATGGGTCTATTTTGTTCAGGCTATTTTGGCTATAGATTTAATAACTTGGTGTACTATTTCAAGATTTTTAGAATTAATTTTCAAAAACTCTACTTCATCTTTAGATTCTCCATTTTTAACTACATCGATTAATAACAGCCGTACAGAAATTTTGGCTACAATCTCCTTTAGATGACGGCTCAGGACTGATCCTGTTCTGACTCTGAATTGCAAAGTATTCGTTAAGAGCAGCTCTATCTCTTCTCTTGGCTTGGGTTTTGAGCACTTTTCTGCTCTTTTGGATTTTTGGCCTAATCAGTTTAAAACTAAGAGCTTACTTGGGGTTTCTACGTTTAGTTTGCGATGAAAATAGTCTTTTCTTGGCTAAATTATAGTATCATATTTTATCAAGACCATCTTTGAGAGCTTTAGGACTAAACACTTGTTGATAGTTCCTCTGAGTCTCACGACCATTCTTTGTCGCAGAAGTTCTTGGTGAATTTGAATCTTGCTCTACCTCTGCTAGACCATATCCCTTCTGCTCGGTCATGGACTTGAGATGACGGTTCGTGTTGGATAGGAAGGAGTATTTGAATTCTAAATTTTAATATAATTTCTTACTTTTTGGACTACTATTTCTCATGTCTGAGGACCTCAGAGGAATAAGCTGAGAGAGTCCACCTTCATTATAAAAAGGAGCGTTCAACTCGAACAACTTCAGGATCTCTCTGAAATTTCCTCTCTTGTTGTACTCGTTGACTGCCTATAGATGAGTGTGTAAATTTACCTTGTGATCTTTCATTTTTCAATAATATTTTAGAAACATGGGGTTTTGGGGTTTTGGGGTTTTGGGGTTTTGGGG